GAATACAAAGTACGGTAATTTAATGGTTATACACGATGACGTGGGTGTGTTTATTTCGTTTTTTTTTCTTCATCTACGCACGGAAATTGCATCCAAGGTTCCTCGAATGATATTCGGTCGCAAATGTTACACCGTTCCAGAGTCTCGCGACGGTGATATAAATCAAACGTGTAGGTTATACATCAAACTATGAAATATATTCACGGTATGCGGTAGATTGAGAAAGAAAAGTTGAATTATTAAGAGAGGTTCGATACCGACGAATGATCGCTTTCCGATCGATGGCTATTAGCCGATGTGGCAATAATGCAAACTGGTTGACGTATTACAATGTTTTATTGCTAATAATTTACTGCGTACTCGTGACTTACATGCGGCGAAAGAAATCATGTTTAAACCCAGCTAGAGAACGGTTTTACGAACACGAGACACAACCAACGAACGAATTCGAAAGAAGCGAGAGAAAGAGGGGCGCGTGCGCGGATTACTCGTTCGTGGCGCCAAGCATTGTCGTGGGAGATATGGGGAAATACAAACGTTAATAAATAAACAAGTCAACGCAATATTTCAGTAATAAAAATTCATAATTCCTCTTCAATTTCAATAAACGTCACCTAATACATTTGTCCTTCTTTGTACCATAGCATATATACTTCGCTTTTTTCATTTATTTTCTTTTTTTTTCTTTCCGTTTGTAACATATGCACAGGATTATGTCGTGCGCACGTGTGTGATTGGTTGAAACGCTCACATAGTATATGTGTATATATATATACACACGCATCATACACCTCTATTATGCACACACGACACAACACATGCTTCGTGTATCTCTCTATTAGAGTCCCGCCTGTTCCCTCTAACATACATACATACGACATGCGCATGCGAAATGCCACATGAACACGCGCGTCGATAATATTTATATACTCTATACGTAGTAAGTGTAACTTCTCTGTAGCAGAACAGAGTTGCTGTGACGGCGACACGCGTGGACACGTACACACTTCCGACTGAGTAGCACGTATACATCATTATATTCCGATTCAAACCACAAAAAACACGGTCTCCTGCACGACAATCATGTTGAATAAAAATAAGTGTCGTAATAGTTGTACTAATTAATATAGTGTAATAGTAATAGTAATGGTAATAGTGATAGCAGTAGCAGTGATGATAATAGCACTGTTGGTATTTTTTTCTCCTTTTTTATCGGTAGCTACGGCTCATTCTCTCTATTTTTTTATTTATTTTTTATTTTTTTTTATTATTATCCAAATGTTACGTACGCAGCGTGCGTATCGATAATTGTACACACCGTAGCTATTTACCAATAATTGTCGTATATACAATGTACATACATACAAGTATAACATTTTGTTTGTATGCCGTTTAACAAGATTTACAATTATTCTTTTCTTTTTTTTTCTTTCTTTCACTGTATGTATACAATGAATATAAATATATAAATTTATATAAGAATATATATAGATTTATATATTTATGGGATCATAGGCATGTATGCGATTGTAAATAAAAAGTACTGTATATATATATATATATATATATATATATATATATATATATATATATATATATATATATATATATATATATATATATATATATATATATATATATATATATATATATATATATATATATATATATATATATATATATATATATATATATATATATATATATATATATATATATATATATATATATATATATATATATATATATATATATATATATATATATATATATATATATATATATACATACATACATATATGTACTATGAGTACATACTATATATATGTATATATATTTATTTGAATAAACGTTCTCTCTCTCTACTCGCGATTAATCGATATTTAATTAGTTACTTACACAATGTAAGTGACGCGACAAATTCTTTCATATCCGCCGGGGCTCGCGTCGAGCAACACGTGTATTAGTCGAGAATTAGTTTGTGTTAATTAATGTGCTTCGATCATTCCCACATCATTTCTTCCCGACAGTCAAGAATTCTGTTAACTAAATATTAAATTACACAAAGTAGACGCGTCAGACAGGACGCTTCTTTTTATACATTCAATGAAATAAACGTTCTAGTTGTATCATTAATATATTAATTAATATATCTACCTAACAGCGTGTTAATTGTTCATATAATCAATATATTAATACAGGGAGGCCCCATAGGTAACGAGGTCCCGAAACAGAAATCATTCTCTCTATTTCTTTTTTTCCTTTTTTTTTGTTTTGCCTAATTTCGAAATTCGTTATACACTATTTTACAATTGCCTATATATTATTTACAATTCTTTTCCGCAACAGCGAATCTATCTGTATGTAATTCTAATTCCACATTATTTCGCCTATATAATATTATGTATATATACATTTGTCGTGTATGCAAGAAAAATATCTCTCTGAATGTAATTCAATTGGAATTGTATCTTTGGATTGCGACCAAAAATAGATTTAAGTAACAAGTTATAGGTGGGGGTGTTCTCGATTAAGAATGGTCAATCATGAAAGACGTTGGCCGCGGGTGCAAACTTGCAATGTCAAATGCGATACCCTCTAAACATAAATATAGTGCGGGAACTCGACGTAGTGACATAGCGAACGTTTTCTTTTCGTTGTTTCCGACACGTAAAATCGTAGCTCAAAAATAGAAAGCGAGTAAGTGTATCCTTAGACAGTACTAGCGGGTGTGTGTGTGTGAATAGGTGTGAAAGAGAGAGCCAGTCGCAAAAAATGAAGATTGACCACCCTTATTCTAAATCATAATTATTTATCACCTATGATGGAGATTAATATTTCTTTCAAGATTACTCGATATGCAAGTGCAAAAGCATTTTTTTCACTTTTTCAACATTTTTTATACTGATCAATCTATACTGATTAAGTTAATAAATTCTTCTATCTATCATCTACTATTGACATAGGCAAATGAAGTT